TCGGACCAAAAAAATAGAGTAAGTTTCAAAACATGGTCCAGAACAAACATGGTAGGTTTCAGGTTCCAAAAACTAGAAACCAGTTATAACAGAGTTGATTTCAGATTTCAGGTCTAAAATCGATCCATCCTGAAATCGATCACCCTTGTTCATTATTAGAGCGAGATATTCCACAGGGAGACAAAAACGAGCATGACCCTATGGTTGTTGTTTTACCCGTAAAGGACGAAGGGACAGGCCGCATTACTTCACGAACTGTGTCGTAGAAGAACAACATCGCAGGAACCTCCACCGTACGTGTCGATTTCGCTCCCCGCAGAAAGTTCACTAGCCTCGAATAACCGTTTTCACACTCGAAAGTAAAGTAATACTCGGAAAAGAAAAGGAAATTAAAATGACGTGGAAAGATCTCTCTCTCCTTTAAATACCACGCAGTGCCTCCCCCATTCAAAGCAAACCCACCCACCATTCAAATATTCTCCTCCACGGCCCCCCCCCTCAACCCCCTGCTCGGGCTCGGACCGTTCGTTGGGGTTCCATGGGCTTCCGGCTTCTGTCCTCCGGCGCCGCCGCCTCCGCCGCGTGGAAGTGGCTGGGGTTCGTGACGGCGGTGTGGGTGCAGGCCATCTCCGGCAACAACTACACCTTCTCCAACTACTCGGACGCCCTCAAGTCCCTCATGGGCCTCACCCAGCTCCAGCTCAACAACCTCTCCGTCGCCAAGGACGTCGGCAAGGCCTTCGGGCTCCTCGCCGGCCTCGCCTCCGACCGGCTCCCGACGTCGGTGATCCTGCTCATCGGGTCGGTCGAGGGGCTGCTGGGCTACGGGGCGCAGTGGCTCGTCGTCAGCCGGAGGATCCAGCCCCTCCCATATTGGCAGGTAAACCACGCGCACCGCCCGTCGATGTGATGCAGAGAATATTTAACGATCCTTGTTGCCCTAAATAAATACGAGCTTAACTTACAAATCATCGCTTACAAAACTTAAAATTATTTTGGAATTTTCGGAGGCTTTCTTTTGATGAACACATGATTTCGGGTCAAATAAGTATTTACCGACGCTGTGAGTTTTTTCCTGGCTTTTCTTGGTGCACCCAAAGCGAAGATTTCTATGTGGTTTAGCGGGAAGGAGCCAAAAAGTTCTCGACGTAGTTTTATTCACTCGTTAAAGAAGGATGATTTTACTCTATGGAATCGATATTTTCAAGTCACATGGTAAACTCCTATTCTTAATTGAAATTCTTTTTTAAGAGGGTAATCACATTAATTAGTGCATCTTAGGCCATTTTTTTTTTATTATATTCGGTTTTTGCTTTAACGTAAAAGATGACTTTTCCCTCGAAGTAATGAACTGTGTGCAAGCCACTAACCCACTTGCACCTCTCTGTCTTCCTTAGGAGGCAAGCTTTCTTCACCTCTAATAATTAATTAATTAATTTGACAAAAGGAAGGAAGGAGCACAAGACAGGAAAATTCCCGCTTTTGCCCCTGCTATTTCCTCTTTGATTTATGATGTGTTTGTTGACCTAAGGACTAAGGGTGAGTAAGATGGACCGTCCAAATCGGGATTGGACCGGACCAGACCGACCGGTTTAGTTCGGTTCTCAGAAATATTGGTCTGGTTTCCGGTTCCTAAAAATGGAATCGATTTTCGGGTGATCTGGTTTCCGGTTCTAGGGTGAGAACCGGACCAGATCGGACCGATAAATATATATTTTTCTAACTTTTTCATATATATAATATTTAATATTAGTCTCATTAGAACCGGTCCAGTCCACGATTCCAAGACTAGTCAGTTTGGTCTCCAGTCCTAGAAACTGGGAACCGGTCCTCTTAGTCCGGTTCCTAGTTCTTGGATCGGATTGGACCGGACTAGAAACTGTTCGTCCCTACTAAGGACGAAAGAAAATGAAAATAAAGAGAATTTACCTGCTTGGGATTTTATGGGGGGTACAGATGTGCGTATTCCTGTGCATGGGAGGGAACAGCACCACGTGGATGAACACGGCGGTCCTCGTCACCTGCATCCGCAACTTCCGCCGCAACCGCGGCCCCGTGTCCGGCATCCTCAAGGGCTTCGTCGGCCTCAGCACCGCCATCTTCACCGACCTCGCCGCCGCCCTCTTCTCCTCCTCTCCCTCCTCCTTCCTTCTCCTCCTCTCCCTCGTCCCCTTCGCAGTCTGCCTCTCCGCCGCCCTCTTCCTTCGCGAGTCCCCTCCCCCCGCCGCCGCCTCCGACGACGACCCCAGGGACGAGTCCCGCTACTTCGGCGCCTTCAACGCGGTGGCCGTCGCCGTCGCCGTCTACCTGCTCGCCTTCGACGTCACCGCCCCGCACGGCCCCGCCTTCTCCCGCGCGTTCGCCGCCGTCCTCCTCATGCTCCTGGCCTCGCCGCTGGCCGTGCCGGCGTACTGCTTCTTGAAGAGCTTAACCTTCTCGGGGCCGTCACTCGGGGGGTCCGACCGGCCGTCCTGCGCGGACGTGGAGAAGCAGCGGGGCCGGGGCGACCTGGCCGAGCCGCTGCTGAGGCAGGAGGTCGTCCCGGAGAGCCAGCAGAAGCCGGAAGTCGTGGCGGTGGAGGAGGAGCATGCGGAGGGGAAGAGGAGGCCAGTGATCGGAGAGGACCACACGATACTCGAGGCGATGGGGAGCGTGGATTTCTGGATCTTGTTCGTGTCGTTCTTGTGCGGCGTGGGGACTGGGCTGGCGGTGATGAACAACATGGGGCAGATGGGGTTGGCTTTGGGTTACACCGACGTGTCCATGTTCGTCTCCTTGACCAGCATCTGGGGATTCTTCGGCCGGATCGGGTCGGGCTCTCTGTCCGAGTACTCCCTCAAGTGAGTCCCCTTCTCCTCCCTCTTTTATTTCATGGGTTAATACAAAAAAAAAACCCAAACTGATATATTTTATGATAATTTTACCTCAAAGTATTTTTTTATCAACAAAAATCCCAAACTAGTACACTTGTGATAATTTTATCCCGAACTATTTTTTTGACCATAAAAAATCCAACACTGGTACATCTGTGACAATTTTACTCCTGAACTAATTTTTTGACCACTAAAAATTCAAAACTGGTCATTTGTGACAAATTTACCCTCCGTTAGTGTTCGTTAAATTGGATTAATATTACGAAAAATCATAAATCAGTAAACTTGTGACAAACATAGAGATAAAACCCAAAATCGGTACACCTGTCAATTACCACACGTCATTAAACTTAGCAATTTGACAGTAAAATTTAACAGAAACTGACGGAGGGTAAATTTATCATAGGTGTACCAGTTTGGAGTTTTTTGTGGTCAAAAAATTAGTTTTTGGGTAAAATTGTCGCGGGTGTACCAGTGTTGGGTTTTTTGTGATAAAAAAAAATAGTTCCAGGTAAAATTGTCACAGGTATACTAATTTAGGATTTTTGATGATCAAAAAAATAGTTTGGGGTAAATTTGTCATAGATGTACCAGTTTGGCGTTTTTCGTAATATTAATCCTTATTTCATAGTCTTGTTTATATCTTCCAACGAGGAAAAACAGTAAACTAATGAAATTCTAAATCCATGAGAAAACCTCATTAACTTTGTCATGAATCTTTTATAAATGTCATTGTCGCCGCAATTGGCCGGCCATTGGTTAGGTATCGAGTCTTTATCTAGGGGAATGATTTGCGGGGTCTCTGTCCGACTTTATCAAATGGGCATGTCGCTTTAATGTTGTTCTCAACTAATTTATTCTCTATCTAGCATCAATACTCTACTGCTACATATCGATCAAGACCTGCATGCCTTGGCCTGGAGAAATTAATTCCCGTTGAAGTCATCTTATGTTAACTTTATAATAATTCTTTGAGGTCATTTATAATGTCTCGGGCATGTCCTTGGAAATCAAGTTACAGTGTCACTTTGGCAGTTGCATACTGCCAAGAGAAAAAAAGTTGCACGTTCTTGCTATGCACATTGCTGTCATCTCATGACTTGTTCAATGTTGTTCTTTTCAGGAAAGCCGGGACTCCAAGACCGTTTTGGAACGCGGCGTCCCAGATTCTGATGGCCGTTGGCTACGTAATCCTGGCCATGGCTCTACCCGGCTCCCTATACATCGGCTCGATCGTGGTGGGCATCTGCTACGGCGTCCGCCTTGCCATCACCGTCCCCACCGCCTCCGAGCTGTTCGGGCTCAAGTACTACGGCCTCATCTACAACATCCTCATCCTGAACCTCCCGCTCGGCTCGTTCCTCTTCTCCGGCCTCCTTGCTGGCCTATTGTACGACGCGCAGGCGACCCGCACAGCCGGGGGCGGGAACACCTGCGTGGGGCCCAACTGCTACAGGCTTGTGTTTGTGGTCATGGCGATCGCCTGCGTCGTGGGGTTCGGGTTGGATGTGCTGCTTGCCGTGAGGACTAAAAAGGTCTACGCCAAGATTTATGCCAGCAAGAAGTCAAAGAAAGTGGGATCAGATGGTCAATGATACATTAGTAATTGGATAAGCTGTTGGTGTTGCAGGGCAAGGGACTCTGTCCAATTGCTGGGTTATTTTTTCTTTGGCCCAGTGATTAAGTTTATAGACAGAGAATATGCGGATCTTTTGAGAAAGCACCTTAGGTCAACGAACAGTTTTAGAACCTTCATGTGATCTTTGGGGAGTTCTAGCTTCTAAAAGGCGTAAGGAGCTGTCCACAGTTTGTCTTCTGCCTCTGCGAAGCAATTGTATTGTGCAATTCTTTCTACGAGTCTTAAGTCAATGGTTCTTAGTTTGATTTGCTGATCTTCATGATTGGACAATCTCCATTTCCTTCTACCGTTTTGGTTTGTTTACCCAGAAAAGGAAAAGAAGATCCATCCAAACCCATGTACATATAGGCCATTTAGAATGCAATACATGCAAGGCACCCCTATGTTTCTTGCCTGATTCTTCATTTGGAGATACTAAATGGCATGTCATGGTCTTACTCCCATCTCAGGGGCAATCGTCCTCCGAGGTAATCATGCTCAGACCGATGTGAGACCCTGACAGATTCGAATATAACCAGAAGGCAGCAAATGAGCAAAGACCTCTATGTACAAAATTGGTCGTGGAACTTGTGGCTCCACTAGCTACAGGCAAAATGAGAGTCAACTTTAGCTTGCAAGATACAAGAGTGGACCCTTCTTCGTCTAGGCGCGGAAATGCTCCTGATAAAACCTCTTCGAGATGATCTATCTGCCTGGAAGTGTCCAGGCTGGTGTCAGTCACGGGGGTCATAATTACGGGCATAAGAGCATAACTGATGTTAGAACAGATATGGCAAAACCCCAAGCGAATTGCACTTGCATCAGACCTGAAAATGAAGCGCCACTTGCATACTTGCTCATGATGTACATGGTCGTCTTGTTCACCAGAGGTAGTAGCTGCGCCGATTCTTTGCGTGCACTCAGGACCTTTTGGCTGCATAGTCATGCCAAATTCTTGGTCAAAGACTAATCGGTGAATTGAAAAGATAACTTATTAGCAGGTTGAACATGACTTGATTGAACGCGTGATGGCATTGTGAAACAAAGATGAAAGAGTTCTGGACTCCTCAGAGTATAATTATCACATTCTAAGCACACATAACAGCAGCCATCGAGGGTGGATAGATGCATTTAAGAAGGCCAATTTGTATGGGAACCAATTGCTTCTTATTTGAAAGTGATGAGCTCGTCATTTTAACCTTTGATCCAAAGGTAACACACTGGCTGACTGTAAGTACCTCTAACAACTCAATCAAGGTTTGCCCTCTTGCCCTTTAACCTCCTAAAGCCCATCTTAAAAGCTACCAGGAAAGGCTTTTAAATACACGTTCTCTAGGATGCTTTAACCCTGGTTAAGATGAAACATTCACATTGAAAAACAAACACGGCAAAGTTCTAGCTTTCAGTATGTAAAATCACAAAAAGTGTGTGTGTGTGTGTGAGCTTTCAAGCATGACCATGGCTATACAGAACTAGGACATTGTCATGGCAAATTCCAGAGTTCCTTTCTCCATATCAGTAAGAAGACACAGAAAGTATAACGGCAGAGGGAAAAGGAAACATGTATACCAAAGGAAACATAGATAACCTCTCATTTACTTGTAGCAGAACATAGAATCCCCCAGATCAGACAAATTGTTAAGAAAACCCGTTTTCTCTTTTTCACCTAAGGTTGCCAGACACACAACTTGACTTTGAATTGTGAAATCCACTGCTATAACTCCTACATCAACAGCATTTCCAGTAATCTAGCCCAAAGAAAGGCTGCATCTACATGTAGAACAGCTCCCAATGACAACTATGATGTTTTGCCAAATCTGCTCAGCACAATTTAGCTAATTCTACAATGAATCACTACATATTACTATGATAGCACTGCTACTGTGTATCTCTGTTTTCATAGGGAGGATTCACAAAATAAAATTGCACATCGATTCAACATCTTGAAAAAGCCTTTTAGGACAATCAACTAGACATAAAAAGAGATCCTAACGTCATTGACTCTCGCTTGGTGTTCCCTGATCTGGTTCCTAGAAATGTCTATGCTCCTACTATGAACATGACGACAGCTACAACTATGGATGTAACCCACAGAAGCAGTGGGGACAGTATGGTAGGAGCATAGACATTTGTTCATGCTGACAAAATAGCAACACTGAAGAATGAACAAGCACCCCACAGGTAACCCTGGCGTATTGCATCTTGAGTTTGATATGTCAACCATGATGACTCCATTGTACATCTTGATGCCTATTCGCAAGCCTTTCACAAAATTACAACTGCTTTGGCTTGAAAGGAATTTTAGGTCTTCCTCGCTCAAAAAGCATGAGTCAAGTTACTTCAAAAGCCTCGTGATGGAGATGGAGTCGAAGAATGCCTTAAGTAATTGTTTCCTATTACTGCTGCAAGGATACCTCAGTGAATTACACTACTCCAACTTCCTCCTAGCATTAGCACTTTTCTACACCACCGAAGACCTATTACTGGTTAATGCCTAGAGAAATTCAGATTTTCATAATTTTTTTAAGTAGTGTAACAAGCTAATCAACTTTGGCTTCTCTGAGAAAAAACACCAAAGTCCCACCGTTTTTTCTGCCATAAGTATATGCAGAGGCGCTATCAAACATTGTTTCATAGATGGTAACATTGATGTCATCTCGAACTTGATCTTCATCAAACAACTATTTTACAGTCTTGATCGAACCACAATCTGATCATACAGCTCGATGCCACTAAGCAGAAGACACGGCTTCTATATGATGCAGAAAAAATTTCACAAAACCCATCTCGCCACTTCACCTCTCACGTGAACAAAGCTCCACTTTTGTAGCTCAAACCAAATAGTAAATAGACAATCACTTTGAGTAATCAAGAATGCATCTCCACTGTGACACTCTCACACTAGTGTCACATTCTCATCCCAGAAATGCTCTTTTCTCAAAATGCTCCCATTTCGAATGCGAAAACATGTCATTTTTCATCATAGCACAGGCTAATCAAAACAACTAATCACAGGCCAGAAACTTTAGAAACAGCAAGTGAAGCCGTGCAAATTTTACCTGGTGTAAGGCAAGGGACAGAATATGATCATATAGTCGGCCCCGGCACACGTGTAAGTGCTCGTCTTGTCATCGTACGCGTAGCTATACGAGCGTGGGCAAGCGTGCTTGAAGAAGAGAGAGAACGCAGACGGCTGACACGTGTCGGGCGTCGAGTATGCGCCGCTGCAGCAATACTGAGGGTCGCCGAACGCTTCGCACGCGCTCCGGCACGCCACACCCCTCCCCGTCCCGTTCCCAGTCGCCACCTTCAGCTGCGCCGGACAGGCGCCGTTCAGGTCCACCAGGCAGCCGGTGGCGCTGCACCCGCCGCCCTTCCCGCCCCTGGCCACCACGAGCATGGGGAGGTTGTACCCGTCCACCAGGCTGACGTCGTAGAAGTCCAGGCCGCCGGCGCCGTTCAGGGTGAACTCGGCGAGGGTGGCCGGCGGCTTGGCGCCGCCGCCGGCGCACTCCACCTTCCCGGAGCCGCAGTCGCCCGTGACGCAGGCGAACCCGCCCTCGGAGTCCCGGCCGCAGAGGGTCCGGCCCCAGATCCGACCCGACCAGGACCTGGGCAGGGGGACGGTCCGGGAGGCGCCGCTGGGGAGGGCGAAGCCGGTGGTGGCGGGCTGGGCCGTGTTGGCGCCGGAGAGCAGGCCGGGCCAGACCGTGCGGCGGCACTTGTTGACGATCTTGAAGGAAGTCGAGTGCACTTCTGCGAGCGTGCCAAGAATCGAGAAATTGCACACGAAATCAAGAAAAGGGTCGAGAGGAATCCGCACAACGAATCGAGGGAAGTGAAAAAGACAGCTCCTTGCCTTCGGTTCGTACGTGTTTTACCTGACAGAAGAGAGAGGGCGAGGAGACAGAGGACGGGGATGGCGACGACGAGGACGCGATCCATTGGAGAGTTTTCTGCGCGCTCAAAGACTGCAGATTTTTGGAGTCGGGAGGAGATGAAAATGGAAGTTTCTACTTCCTGGGCTGGGTGTCACCGTCACTCCAAGAACTTTACTTTTCTTGAGCAAAGACAGAACCAAACGGATTGCTGTAACTGCACTTGTTGAACAGTAAAACTTTTTGTTAACATTATATATATATATCATGAGTCTTTATACTTGATTACGACGCAAAATGCATTTTTTTGTCGAAACCACCTTCAAGATTGAGGGGCGACAGTGAAATTAGTAATTTAAAAATCTGCGGTGGGACATTGTGAAGATATCGGGGAAAAAGAAGACCATTACATACAGGCTATTGAAATAAAGGTTGAAGTTCCTGTTTCAGTATCGCGAAAATGACTTCTGCTCTCAGGTAACATTGGCTACAAGCACGCACGCCACATTGCTTTGAAGGATCAGCTAACACCAGGACCACTACTCTGTTCCGGTAAAGATTCTTGCATATGCACAGTAGTGACTGCAGCATCTGACACGAGCCTTTACTGAATTCACTCCGGTTCGTCTCAGCTTCGTGATGGCCCGGGAGCCTTCTTTGGAAAACCGGTTTGTGTTATCTGACAGATGCTATGAGCCTAGTCTACGAAGCCCCGTGTTTTGAATGGGGGAGGCCCATGAAGGATGCTGTGATTTTTTCTGCAAGCTGTGTGGGAAGCCATGAAAAAGAAATCAGAGGCTTCAATTTTTCTTTTTGTATCATAAGAAAATCCACTTTACGTAGACAAATTACGTGATGCTTGTGGTTGTTTACAGTAGGAGAGGAGTGGACGGGCAAACAAGACAGGTGGGTAGTATTTTTGATGACATTAACTAAATCTAACTGAAAATGTCTAATCAAGTAAAAGATTTACTAAATGTGTCGGTGAAAAGTGTACTGTGAGGTGTTGGAGACCTTATCTTTTAATTGCTTCAATATTTATGTTCAGTCGATCTCTCATTTGGCCAAACATCGCTCGCTCTCTTGCTCTCTTCGCTTTCCTGTCGACGTTATCGAATTCTAATTTTAATCTAATGGAAGATTTTATTTGCTACACGAGATTTGAATCCCCTCATGTTAATGTTATCGAATTCTAATTTTAATCTAATGGAAGATTTTATTTGCTACACGAGATTTGAATCCCCTCATGTTAAGCCTTTCGTGCTCATCTCGAGTTTTCTCAACTTGGGTGATGCCCATGAGATAAGGGATCTGGGTTGATGATCTCATCCGAATCACAACTTTACTGAGATCATGAGATTATTGTACAAAGTGCGGAGGAGCAACCGCCCAAGAGCCTGGAGAGGAGCAGGGTCACGATCGAAATCGACATGATTGGTTAGGTTTCGATTTGGCAAATGGGCAAAGCACAACAAATTTCGCGCACCAAATAGACATGTTGGGACACTATTCACGAAATGCTACTAACGACCTCCTACCGACCGCCACTGGCACCACCACTCAACGCCACCGCACCTCCGCCATGCCACCACCTTCATGGTAAACCCAAAATCCCATAAAGTTTCCAATTCAACGAGAGACATCGGACATCCTAGGCTAAGGCTTTCCACTTAAAGCGGCCTCGTAACTTGGATCAAGGCCCATGGCCGGGGCTTCACATCCACCATAACTGTTCAAGTACTTTAGGATCACGACGATTGAAAGATAAAGGGGACAACAAGGGATGATATTAAATGAAGTTTTGAGATTGGTGTCGCTTTCGCCCTAGAAATCGTCTTCGTTCTCTTCTTTTTAACAACAGATAAAAGGTGCATATTTTCTACCGCCCAGGAATATCCTGGGTTTGAACCCGATGCCACCCTATAATAGATAATACATCTTTCGAGGCGTTACTGTGCAAACATAGGCAGGAGCAAAATAACAGAGAGGACAAGAACTTCGACCAAATCGCCATCGACCGCATTCAATCAAAGGGGTGGGGACAGACGATCTACAAAAGAAGGACTCGTCCCTGACTCACTCACACACCAAGTCCTCCCCCCTTCCCTGTTAATGGCCTAAAAACACATCCACGCATTAACCACTGTCCCCCACCTAATCACCCCCAACTTTAGCAAGCATCTACAAACCTAATCTGAACCCTCCTTTTCACGCCCCCAGTCAATCTCGTACACATCGCTGGATTACTGTAGGAGGTGGCCCGAGGTAAAAGATGGAACCGACTGACCCACCCCCTAGTCAATAAAGCAGAGAGAGAGAGAGAGAGCATATAATGCATCCCCGAAACAGAGTGTGTTCCTATAATTGGTGAGCTATGTGTTCTGCAACATTCCCGTGAATGAATCCCGTCCATCACTCAACTACAGCAATAGTGGGCATCGAAATCCAAAATGGGCATCTGCCGATTCGGGTTTTGGGACGGCCAGTCCGCCATGATCAACACCCCACATGAACACACAAACCACTTTTGCATCATAGAGAAGAGAAACAGGGGACCAATTGTCAAATTAGATGGCGCATTAAAAAGGGAGCTAGCTACACCATTCTCGAGTCCTACTACCCTACACAGATCAACATCATTGCATCACACCCAACAGCATTTAACCCAAAAGAAAAACAAGAAAATAAAAAAAAAAGGGGGATTAAAAGAAAAAGATGATTGCCACGAGAAAAGCATGAAGATTCCTAAAACGCGAAAACCCTAGCAGCAAAAGTCACGCGCACACACAACCAACCGGAGGGGTAGAAACGTAAAAAAGCGGGGGAGAGAGTCAGACTCGGGGGAAGATCGTTCACGCGCTCCTATTCACCGGTCTGAAGACACTCCCTCGCGAAATGCCCTGGCTCTCCGCACTTGAAGCAGTTCCCTCCTCCTCCGCCTCCGCCGCCGCCGCCGCCACCGCGGCCGGATCCTCCGTACCGTCCGCCGCCGCCCCCGCCGCCCTGGTAGCAGTCCCTCGCCAGGTGCCCAGTCTCCCCGCAGCTGTAGCAACCGCCTCCTCCTCCTCCTCCTCCGCCGCCCCCGTATCCGCCTCCTCCTCCTCCGTACCCTCCGCCGCCTCGCCCGCCCCTGCTGCCGTACCCTCCGCCCCCGCCGCCGTACCCGCCCCCGTCGTACCCGCCGCCGCCGCCGCGACCGCCCCTACCGCCGCCGCCGCGGGTGCTGCCCTGGACGGGGGCACCGTCGGGGCCGGTGACGTCGACGGCCTTGGTGCGGCCCCCCTCGGACTCGACCTGGAACTCGACGGACTCGCCGTCGCCGAGGCTGCGGAAGCCCTCGGAGCGGATGGAGGACTGGTGGACGAAGAGGTCGTCCCCGCCGTCGTCTGGGGTGATGAAGCCGAACCCCTTCTGGTCGCTGAACCACTTGACCTTCCCCGTGAGCCTCTCCCCCATCTCTCTCCCTCTCTTCAACCCTCTTCAACCACCGACCTCACCCACACCCTCTCTCTCTCTCTCTCTTCTCTCTCTCTCTACACTTTCTCTCTCTACTTTCTGTGTGAAGGTGAGCTTATCTGGGAGCGCATGCAGCGTGCTCAATATATACACACGCCAGAAGAAAATGGTTCTCGGGGAAGGAGAACGACGCCGCACGAGCCGAGGAGGGTGCGCGCTTCGCGCGTGTGTAATTAAGCGAATTGCCTCGTTCCGGGGGGGGCCTCTCGCGGGGCCCGCCCCAGCTGCCCTTTTTGGGGGGAATCCCGAACGACGGCGAGAATTGTGTGAACCCCACCTTTTCTGATCCAACGGTCGGGGCGTCGTGTCAGACCGGGACCTCCCCCCCCCCCCCCCGGAGATTTGAGCGCTTGTTGAATTGGTCAAAAATCCCTTCATTTCTTTTTCTTTTTCTTTTTATATTTTTATTTTTTGGCGGAAAAAGACGATTTCATCCATTTCAATCCAAGATTCTATCTCCCCCTCCCCCTCCTCCTCCCCCTGTCCTGCACTGGAAATTTTGCGTTGGGCAATTTTCTCCGAATTTCTTCAACTACGATTTCTTCGAAGTGTTGATATGGAATTTTTTTTTTTTCACATGATATATATATGCATATATTTTTGGTACTTTTGAAATTAGGTCCGACTCGCCTAAAATCATGTACCGACGTTGTTCTATTTTGGGTACACCTTTTGCGTAATAGATAATGGACACACGTCGTGAGGATAAGTTTCAATATGCACCGACCATCTTCTGAATTAAGGCAACAACTCAAGACCGTGACATGAATCCTTCGTAGAAAATGAACCGAATAGGCCAATTACTAGTCGGCGAATGTGTGCATAACGCTTGGCTCGACTACGTGACGGAGAAATGAGTTCCAATCATGAGATGTCTCGAAAATATGGAAACTTGGAGAGATGCAGATTGGCCAAATCCAAAGAAGTAATAATGAATGCGGATATTGTTTCCCTTTCTAGATAAATGTAAATCTCTATACCGGCGAAGTTGTCATTATTAGGGGTGAGAACAACCGCCCAGATTGGACTGAACCTGTCGGTTCTAAGCGGTTCCCGGTTTCCAATTCCAACAGATCGGAACCGGTGATATTCGGTCCACTTCTCAATTTCATGTATGGAACCGGCGACCCGGACCATCCCGACCGTTATCTTTTTTTTTTTAAATTTCTTAGAAATCTATGAAAACTAAAAAGCCCTAATCGCATTCTTCATCCTTGACTCTTACCGAATACCCTATGCTGCTCGACTTTTACCGTCTCCTCGCCTCGCATTATTCGCTCTTTCACAAACCCTCATTGCATTCCTCATCTTCACGACTCTTACCCTATGCTCGCCTCTTCTTCGCAAGTATTAGCTATTGCTCCCTCCTTCTCCCTATCCCCTCGAGCCATTGCTACTTCCATCTCATCCTGATAAAGACCAGAGCAATACGAAAACTAGTTAACAACGGTCCCAATCGTGGCGAACATTCTTAGGCGAGCATGTTTCGCAATGCAAAACTAGCAATTGTTGATCGAACTAATCGCTTCGTAGCATCATAACTCGCAACCAAAACAAACCAAGCTACTTAAGAAGCATTGGAAGGCAATGAAGCAAAGAGAACTGAGTAAGAAAAGAAAAACAATGAAACATCAAAAGGTAAACTCAAATCACCAGTTCCATTGCCCATCCGGGAACCGGACCGGACCAGTCGGTGCGGTTCAATCCGATCCGATTCCAAGTTCAGGTGGGCCAATTTCTTATTCCTATATGGGAACCAACTGACCCGAGAACCGATCATCCCTTGTCATTACTCGTGAGAGAGATGTTGCATTTCCATTTCTCTCAAAAGAGCCTCATTTGTTTTTCCCAAAAAAAAAGGGTGAAGGAAAAAAAGGATCATGTCAATCTTTAATCCCATTATACGTCAACAAACACACGATCGGCCAGAATACACGTCGTATGCATAATCACTTTCGATATGACGAGTCATAAAATTGAAATATGAAAAAAAAAATGAGTTAAAATATATTGTATTCGCCCATATATCATGGTAATGAAAGTAAAATTAAGCCTCGGGTTCTATTTGTTTCGCAAAAAACATTTTTCGAAAAAATATTTTCCTCCTTTTCTGGCATCGCTTAAGAAAATGAGTTAACGGAAAATGTTTTCCAAGTTAATGAAAAATCTATGAGGAAATTATTTTCCAAAATATGACTGGATATTGGCGCTTGACCCGAAACTCTATACTTGGGCACGAAACTTCAATAATGATTCACAGGTCTCTAGCGTTTAGGACTAGGTCTCCAGCACTAGTCCGACACCTAGGCCCGTTCGGATCCCCAACGCCCATGCCTAGGTCCATCAAGGTCGAGCCCGGGACCTAATGCCCATACTCGGGCTAGGTCCACAAAGGCCTTGCGCAGGATCCTAGTTCCCAAGTTCAGATCACCAACACCTAGGCATAAGACCCTAATGCCCACGCTTGAGTCCATTGAGGCCGGGCTCGCGACCTAGGTCCTCGTGCCCTGATCCCTGGTGCCTTGGTCAGTGTCCATCGAGGCCGATCCTGGGACTCTAGTGCCTGTACCCTTGGTTGCCCATGCGTAAGTTGTTAGTGCTTGAATAGTATATTTATTTAGGAAAATCAAATTAGATTTTCAATACCAAACGATTAAAAATATTTTCCAGTTCATTTTCAGGTTTCAATTAAATACCGAAAAAATATTGTTATTTTCATGGAAAATACCTTTGTGGAAAACATTCTCTAGAATTATCACATTTTTCATAAAACAAATGGAGTTTTAGATGGCAAAAATGAGTAAGGATGTACATAGTATTAATAGTTTCGTACTTCAAACAGAATCCAACTAAAATATTTATGAAAGTTCCACAATTGGTTTGGACAAATAAAAAATTTAAGGATTTGATTGAAAAAAACATTGGTTCAAAGATTAAAGTTAGACCTTTGGGCTTTACTTAAAACAATCCAATTCTTTTTTACCTTTTCATGTAAACATGGAAAAAATTGTCCAAAATATCTTTAAAACTATTGTACACGGGCAATTCAGTCCTAAATATTTCAATTTTGCCAATTTAATCATAACCTTTTTGACAATTTACCAATGTAGTCATTTTGATCAATTTTAGTTAGAAGTCACTCACGTAACGCTTCAGTTAGTGCTGACATTTTGTAAAAGTTTTATGAATTATTTTTCCTCTTTTTTTTTTTTCTTTCTTACCTATTTCCCTTCATCAGTCATCGGGCATTGATTCACGTTAGCACCAATTGTGCCATGTAGGATAGCTCATGCATTAGCGAAACGATAATTTGGTCAATAAATGGCCAAAATGGAACTTTTCGGATAATTAGCCGAAAAGGAATTCTCGTGGATTCACCAAATCAAAATCAAACTGCACTCCAGGACAAAACAGTCGCACTGCTTCATACAAACATAAGCTTTGTAAAATATTCATGTATCGTGATAAATTTTATCCACCATCTAATTCACAAAAGGTCATTAAACTTTTCGGATAATTATCTCTGTAAATCCGGGGAGATTCTCGTGGATTCACCAAATCAAAATCAACTGTACTCCAGGACAAAACAGTCGCACTGCTTCATACAAACATAAGCTTTGTAAAATATTCATGTATCGTGATAAATTTTATCCACCATCTAGTTCACAAAAGGTTATTAAACTTACTATAGCAATATTTTGGGCCATATTTTTAGGAGGATAAACTGGACGTGGGGGCAGGCCGTACCAAATAGTTTTGAATATTTGTTGCTTTCTTTCTGGGAATTGCAGGTGCAGGTGCAGCGTATCATTATCCTCACAGGGATAGTCACCGATCAAATTTAAAAAAGAAAAAATAAGAAAAATAGTACCGGGGGGGAAGACTGGTCAAAGGGGGTCAAAGGGGACGGTCAAACTGGAAAGAATCTCACCTGATGGGACTGGTCAATGCGTGTCGTGGTCCCAGAAAAGTGGAAGCTTCCATGCATCTGGTTTGCTCCCTCGAAATCGGTCTCGCCAAGCAATTCGCGTTGCTCACGAGGTTTGTGTCGGATGCGTTTTGTGTGAATTGATGTTCCATTGCGATGCGCAATCTCAAGGTGGATATCACAGCTTCTTGTACAATACTATTGGTTACCACTCACAAAACCTCATGTATAAGATCTTCCCAAAAATCTTGTAGCCCCGATGTAGACGACGTACATCTGATTAGGCGAAGAATGAAACCAGCAATCCATATGTTGAAATAGACTCGTGGCATCGTTTTAGCGTGCCTACCCTCACCCCCTAGAGTTTATGGAATTTGGTCATGCGGTAATAAGTCGGGTGTGTGACTCGATACTCTTGGCGTACTTTTATTTCATGGAATCGAGTCGGCCAATAGCGTGTCATCGGGGGGCGTGACTCGGCACTCTCCACATACTGTCCTCAAGCCTTCTGTATCTCGTTTCGCATGCAGCGTCGCAGCATTGTCCATGTGTGTCCCCATAGTATTTATGGAATTCAGTTGCGTAAGTAGGAATTAGCAGTTCTAGGGTTGATCCAGGTTTCATACGGAATTTAGAACCTACCAGTCGAAACCGATTATCAAATTTTTGGAATCCGAAACCTACCATGTTATAGGTTCCAGGGTCGATTCCAAGGTTTATCTAGGTGTTCAATTGCAGCAAATCATCACCTCTAATGACCACCATTTGCTGTTACAAGCCACTGATCGCAACTCATATTTAGACACACGATGAATATAAAAACATTAACAAAGTAAAATTCTTAGTCAGGGATATCATCGGAAATGGGAGCTTAGATTAATGATTCCATATTATACACTCATTATTGGACGCCATAAAATACCGAAGCAAAACTTATTCCAAGTTTTAGGCTACATTAAAACCTGTCCGTCAGAATTAATTCTCCAATTTTTGAAACCTAAAATCTATCGTGTATATCCTGAAATTCGAAATCGGACCGGTCCAGTTCTACCCATGCTTACCCTTATACCTAATAGTGCGTTGGTCAATTTTTGGTCGGTCTCCCGTCTCGCCCATCTCGTGTTTGTTTTTTTTTTGGTTGGTCTCGCGCATCTCGTTTGAGGGTGCGATGTATGGTCTAAAAATGTCCATCCCATCCCATGCTTTTGGTATGTTCGGCTGTTTCCGTTCGAGTTCGATTCAATCGGGGGGCCATGAAATAGGGGCGTGGGTTGGTCAAAAAAGTACCTTTTCTTTCCACAAACCAAAGCGCACTGTTGCAGCACACTGGCGAACTGCGCAAAAGCAAAAATGAGCAGCGTCCGCTTGTCCTTCGCTCCCTCCCTCTCTCGAGCATGTGTGAAGTACCGGTCCCAGTTTCCCAAATTTCTCTTTTGCTTTTTTTTTTCTTTGTTTTCTTTCGATTTTATTCTCTACATTTTCCAGTTTCCCCCCAAGCTTTATTATTACCTCGGCACTTATCAAGTTAATATCATGAAATACCTTAAATCGGTACACCCGTAATAAATTTATCTCAAGTTAAATTTTTTAATCGCGAAAAACCCCGAGCCGGTACATTTATGATAAATATATCATCTATCAGTCTCCGTTAATTGGATTAACATAGTGAAAGACCACAAATTGATAAATTTGTGACAAATGGAGGGTAAAACCTCAAACTAGTACATCCGTCAAATAACACGTGCTATCCAACTGAGCAATTTAATGGTAAAATTTAACGGAAACCGATGTAGGGTAAATTTGTCGTAAGTGTACCGGTTTAGGATTTTTGGTCGTCAAAAAATTAGTTTGGAGTAAATTTATCACGGATGTACGAGTTTGGATTTTTCGTGATATTAACTCTTGGACTAAAGTCACAAAAAATTTCAAACTATACCCACTAAATATAAAAAACCGTAAACCTGTACCCATGTAATACATTTAGCCCCCGTTAAGCTTCCATTAAATGGTTTTGCAGCCAAAGCAACATCATTCTTATAAACCGGTTACTTTCTGGCGTCCATGTAGGTAAATTTTTAGTTGTTCTCATCGATAAAATTTAACGGAGAGTAAATGTGTCACACATTTACAAGTTTGAAAATTTTGGTGTCACATGAAAAAGTTTAGGATAAATGTGTCACAGCGAGTATAATTTAGGATTTTTGATGGTTTTTATCTATTTATTTATATTTTTTTTAAAAAAAAATTTCAATGGGACTAGCTGAAGTGTAGGAGATGGATGTTTTTGCTGGGGTTCAGAGGTAGAAAGCCCTTGGGCCCAGCACCGGCAGGCAGTGTCGACCGAAGTCCTCCAGTAGCAGCCCAGTAACGAGAGATAGCTTCGAGCTGGGTTTAACATTTGTAGGCCCTCACCAAATCTATAAGAGGATTGGACTTCTTCTTCTTTTAGCTTTGATACTTCTTATTTTTTCGGGTTAATATCTCGAAAAACCCTAAACCGAAATACTTACGACATATTTATGATAAGCTAATTTTTTGACTATCGAAAACCCCAAACTGCTAAAGCCGTGATAAATTTACCCTCCGTTAGTTTCCGTTAAATTTTACCGTCAAATTGCTTAGTTGGATAACACGTGGCAGTTGACGGGTGTACTACTTTAGGATTTTACCCATTTGTTTGTCGCAGATTTACCAATTTGTGATTTTTCATGGTATTAATCTAATTTAACATAGGGTAAATTTATAACAAATGTACTTGTTTGTGGTTTTCGGTGGTAAAAAAATTAGTTCAGGGTAAATTTGTCACATGTGTACCGGTTTGGGTTTTTAGTAGTCAAAAAATTAGTTCGGGGTAAATTTGTCACATGTGTACCAGTTTGGGGTTTTTCGTGGTATTCACCCTATTTTCTTTTTCAAATATCTCAAGTTTCACAATTTACAAATGTCTATGTGTGGATTTCACATATATACATGTATTTCGTTTTTTAGATTGAATAACGTTACAAATTTTGACGGGATAGCGAAAAGGTCAACTTTCTTTTCTTATGAGAATCCGATCAATAGGGAAGTGTCGTGAATTTCTTACCTAATTTTTAACGACCTTCTGCGATCATGCGACCACGTCACGAGACGCAAGGGATCTGGAGAAGGTTGCTGTTGTTGACCCGACCGGCCTCGTCTCTTTCTACTTCCTCTCGACTCGCGCTCTGTGATCTCTCTCTCTCTCTAGCCGGCCGTGGTTGTCTCTCCAGGACCACTCCCAATTTAGTCCGTCCTCAAGCATTGATGATGGTCACCATTTCTGGCTCCTCCCCATAGTCGTGAGTTCTATCTTTCACCCTGTGCCAATCCTTACGGACATGGTTCGGTACAGTAGGGCAGTGTTGAGTCCACAAAAACACTGGGGCGGTGACATTGAGGTGGCGACGCGACAACACCAGAGTGATAGTGGCGGAGTCGAGTGGTGGCTTCGTTAATGTGATCGCAACGATAAGTTATTTGAGTGGGTTTGACTTGGGTATGGATCAGATGCGATTCGATTGGTTAGGAAAACTTAACTTTCTAATATGGCGAGGTTACCATCCAAATAAAAGTGCGCCCGGGAAGGCGAAGGAACGGCTCAACCTAGACTCGGTTCGCACATGGCAGCCCCCCGAGCCTACCCAGACCAACCAGGTTATAAGCGCTAATTTGGCGGATCTGGGCAGACGTTGCCAAAGCTTGTTAGGATCCACCGGGGTGAAATCGTCCGATCTCGAGTGAGAAAATTGCTTAATCGGTCCGATTACTTCATACTTTCCAAGTGACTGAGCTAACAAAGCAGCATGTTCAAGTCATTTTCTTTCGCTTCTTTCGGAACGATTTCGATAAAAATGGAAAGCCCTTCGTGTACAGTTTCTACGTCAAGCAAGGTAACGAGACTCGACGACTAGTTTAGTTGTTGTGTAGCAATTGAATGAGCCGAAAGCCAGAAGAAGAAAGGTGAAGCAAAGGGCATTGAAGGACTCTTCCTGGTCTCTTTTGCTGAATGGTGATTGAATGTGACGATTCTATTTTATGTACATTTAATGTCGATCACAGCAGAGACGAACTAAACCAAAAATTTCTCCCCGCCCAGTAGTTCTAATCTCGCTAAGCATTTCATATGTCGTACAGCTCCGGATTGAATCAATGGAACCCTCTCGAACCCCTGGACTGATAGAGCTCGAGCCGGCTCTTGGCCTCCGGCAACAGGTCCTTGATCGTGTACTCTTCGTTTAGGTGCGCCTGCTTCGTCGACCACTCTAGGACTATGAGCACCTCCTCCTGCGCGAGCGTCTCGCTGTCAGGGACGTGTAGCGCGATGTAGCACAGGAGTATCAATGCCGGGATTTGGACCATCTGCTCCCCGAAGTAGACAAGCTGAATCAAGTGCTTGACGCCGCCGGCGCTGATGATGGCCTTGCAATGGTAGAGGTGGAGGAAATTGTCCGTGCACGCGAACTTATTCAGGGCGATGGTGGACTCCATCGACACCTCAGGCTCCCTCTCGTCGAGCAACTTCACCAGCGGGCTGATGATCCTCGTCTCGGTTGCTCGGAAAGTCCTTGCCAGGCTGCCGATGGCCTTGATGCAAGTCAGCAAGAGGTGTGACTCGCCCTTCTCGATCACCTTCAACAATTGGTCCACGACCGCCCTGGCGGCCGGGGAAGTCGGCTTGAAGGCAGAGCGCCTCAGCTCTGAGTTCTGCTCGGCCACGTCCGCGATCTCCATCAGTGCCATCGCCGAAAAGGACTGAACGTCTTCGGGACCCTTCTCGAGCAGAATGGCGAAGCAGAGGAGCGCTCTCGATTCCGTAATGCTCCGGCAAATCCCGACATTCCCCTTGGAGAGCTGCCAAAGGGCCCGAGCGGCCATCGCCTTCATCTGGGCCTTGGTCGCGGGGTCTTCGAACTCTCGCCCCTTGATGCTACTCCCGGCCAACGCCACGTGCTGGGGCTGGTGGTGGTGGTGGTGATGCTGCTTGGCGCTGTTCTGGGCGGTCTTAGCATTGTTGGGATGGTGATTTGGGGCGTAGCTCTGCATCGACGTGGGTGGCTTGGAGTGCGAGGATGCTTGGTGCTTCATGGCGATGGTGTTGGCCACCACATTCTGCATTTGGCTTGGGGTTTCATTGCCCATGGGATGTGCAATGTGACCGTCCAGAGCTTGCTTGTCGTGATCATCTTCATGTCCAGGCGCATCAGCGTCACCCTGATTGCTGTTACTTGCCATCACCACTGAATGTATCGACATCTTCTGTTTGCTCGCGATCGCATACTTGCTATGCTCTTGCACGGTCTCGAACGCCAGATGGCTCACCAGCAACCTGATCACGTTGTTCTGGGCGAAATGATCCTGGCATTTCGGGTAGTTCGCGGCCAGCTCCGACACCGCCCACGCCACCACGACCTGGACCTTCATGCGGCCTTCCTTGAGGATCTTTGCAAACACCGAGCACACGCCCACGTTCACGATTTGCTCGACGCTCTCGGGGTCCCGCCCCAACAGCCCGATCGCCCTGGCCGCGTTCTCCTGCCCTTCCAGCCGCCCTTCCTTGGCGAGCTTCAGCAGCGGCGGCACCCCGCCTTCCTCGATGATCAGCTTCCCGTAGCGGTCGTTGTCCCGGGCCAGCGAGACCAACGAGGCAGCTGCGTCGGACCGGTCCTCTACCGAGCCCGTATAGAGGATTGCGATTTGCTCCCATATTAGACACAAGATGGGCTCGTTGGAGGCTATGGGCGGGAGGCCCAGGTACTCGTCGTCGCGGTCGTTCGCGGAGGCCGACACCCGCAGCAGCCAGGAGACGTCCCCGATCGAGTTCTCCAGCTGCATGGAGGTCTTCCGGAACGCAGCCGCGGGGATGATGGTGAACACGCGCTTCATCAGGCTGTTGCCCCGGCACTTGACCACGAGGGCGAGGGCCTTGTCGAGGACCTGCTCGGTGTCGGCGACGATCCGGCGCGTGGGGCGCTCGTAGAGGTCGTTGCTGGCGCGGGCCGCCTGGCGGAGGAGTGCGGCCAGCTTCTCCGTCTTGGCCTTGATCTCGGCGCAGTCGGGCTTGAACGACACGTGGACGTCGTCGGCCATCTTGGTCACCTGATCGGCCAGCTGGATCGGCCTGGCGAGAATCTGTTTCACTATGTCCGCCATGGCCTAATTAGCGGGACCTAGAGAAGAAGCTAAACAAAGGGAGAAGCCGAGATCAAAGCCCCACCAGTTTTCCTGCACCAATTCTGGCAAACTTTTGCTAACTTTTCGAGGCTCCTGGCAAAAGGGTATATATCGGGGGGGTGGGGTTCTCGGCGACGGTGGAGGGTCCCAACTGAGAAGGTGTGTTCTTTATAAGTATGCGAATGTGGAGACCACCATCATTAAGGCAGGCGACAGCAGCTCGGAAACTGCAAGTTTTGGCCTTTCTTCTAGCCCCCCCTCGAGGCGGCGGCGGCGGCGTCGGCGGGGCTGGGATTTGGGGTCTGGCTTCGTACGGCCGGCGGAGCAAGGTGGCGGCAATGGTGGGGAGGAGGAGGAGGAGGAGGAGGAGAGCGAGAATTGGCTCTCTGGTGGGGGTAACTGGTCAAACGGGTTTTTCTCCAACTTCTTTCAGACATTAATCTCGAACCACCATTGTTTCTTCGGTTATATATAGGAAGTTGGATTGGCCGGTCCCCAAAAAAACCTCTGGAGCTGCGATTCAATCCCCACGCGCCGTGGCCCCACGCGATCTCCATCCGACGGCTACGAGGATCGGCGTCGTCCGGCGAGCCTCGGAAGCTGCGGCGTGGGACGCACGCGCTGTTCCGGCGAGTGGCGCGCAGGCGGTGACGTCGTTTGACGTGATTTTCGCATGGAGGGGGGGAAATTTGGCCTTGTCACCACCAAGGACATCGCTTCAGCCTCCCATGCCGTGGGGGCCGCATGAAGTATAGCGCTTTGTCAATTATTGGTGCCCCACCGCTGATGCTTTATAAAGAAACATACATGAAGATTTATATATATTTACAGAATCTCATAATATTTCTTTCTACATTCAAATTTAGATTTGGGAAAAATCATTAGTGAAAAAAATCAGAAACGACTGACAAACACAACCATGACTCTTGAATTATATCTTTTATTCTTATCCCTAAAGTGGTCAATCAACCGAGGGTCTTGCTCACGAGCAGTTTCGGAATACTTACTTGGTATTTTTACTTATAGCAATTTAATTTACAAGGCACCGATTATTTGCAGCACGAGGGCAATTGGGACGTTGAAAACCGTGAAACTTCCTTAGTTGATTTTGTTAACAAATGTCTCCGAAACACTCGTTAATAAAGTTTTATTAACTAATTACTAATTAGGCATGCGTCGGGACCTAGTGCGCTAATATCAGGTTTTGCCATGAAATGTAGAAGTTTAAAAATGGAAGTTTAAAAAATCGTAAGGTTGAGCCGAATCGAAAGGCTCGGATGATACGATCCCTCCTTCATCCGAAAATGAAAAAAAGGGGTGATCTCGTAGTTCTTGATCCATATAAATAAGCTACTTGCATTTATCTTAAAGAAAGGGAGGAATGTATCTCTAATATCCGTACAGTTCGAGCTTGACTGACACACCCTCTTAGAAAAATTCCTCCATTTAATTCGATATCGCTTCGATTTGACCCGCGCAATTACCTGCCAAAATATTATGCACAACACGGTCAAAATGTGTGTTAAAACCGTTGGAGTGCTTAGATGTAATGCCCGATAATATTACAAAGTCAATGGAGTCCAGCTTCAATGAATCCTTTTCTGTGTTTTGAGAATAATTTTAACTGGCTTACATCATGTGCTGCTTTTGACCAAAGCCCTTTTGATCTGCACATACGATTAGCAATCTGAGTCGCATGAATGTAAAAATCCGTGTCCCATTTCAATGTTCGAACACCAGGGAGATGTAGTGAAGGGGTTACCTGGAGGGAACATATGGAAAAGAAATGCCCCCCAAACCATCGATTTGGGTATCAATTGCTCGTTTTGATACGACGATCTCTTTTATGCGAATGGAAGTGTCTCCCACTTTGGATGGATGGCTTTGCATGCATAGGGAGATTTAGTCCATTAAACAAAAATTTGGATGCTCCATTTCATTTTAAAAGAAGGGACAGAACAATAATGTCTAAATGATTATATTAGCAAGCTTTTTGCTTTTGTGCCATTCTATAGTTTTGTTGAGGTGTGTGGAGTTCGTGGGCTCTTGAATTTGGGGTTTTGCTAATTTTTCCTCGATGGCGAATCGAACCACCAAAAAGGAGAGTTGCCCATATTGGCATTTTTCTTTTCTTGAAAGTAGTACAATTTAGGGGAGCATAAAGCATAAATAGGCTAGCCTGTTTTCAGACAAAATGTCGAAAATGTTAGTTGAATTGTAATGACTCTAAGAGAACTATCAATTCGAGTGCAAATCAAATGGGTTTTTTCTAATCACGGTAGAGATTTCACACTCTTCCCTTGTCTTTTGCAATTAATTATGATTGGTCCCATTCCACCCTCTCTTTCTTAGGTGTTTTCCCAGTTTAATGATTAGTATAGCAATCGGGACCAGTCCGCATGTTCTCCTCCGTGAATGGGTACAAAGTCCCCGCCAAAATCCTATACGGAGGAACATGTGCTTTACATCATACATCACTACCTTACCTACAAGAAACTCTGCTTCCGGGTGTTGTAGCATGCGGATCGAGACAATTGAAAGTGAAAAAAAGGATGTCATACTTGCCTAAGAGAATGCAATGTATGGGAGAGGAGAAAAAAAAAGAGTTAGTGGGAGATTGCATCTGAAACTGTGGAGCATGACGCATATGTTCCTTTCTAAATGCTGTGAGTGATTTATCTAATGTGCAGATTTGGAGATAAGATGCGAAAGATCGAATCGATCTGCTTAAAATGTTTGAATTTGCTGGTGGCACGCGGGCGTGCGAACTGGTTTCACCATGACCTTTTGTGGTCCTGTGACAACAACGTTTCATCTTTTCCGTTTTGGAGCATTGTTTAGGTTAAAATCTAGACGTATTTGGGAGTTGAGATTTCATCTAATCCCTGTTTTGTATATTCGATGTGACGTTCTAGTTGCGGAGCTGCGAATCATTTCCCAACGTTGATAAATGCGAGACCATGGACATGTACGCTACTCTTTCCACTTATCATATCAGCTCATTTTTTCTGTTTCATTAAGTTGATAGCAGTGCATTTTCCTCGAGGCTTCAATTTGACAATCCTTTGAGGTTCTATTGTGACAATTAAAACAATGATAAATATTGCTCATAATTAAGTACGAGTAGTTTCTGGCAGATGTTGTGTTAGAGGAGTCTCACATCGGAGAATTGGTGTGATATGGAGCATTTAATATGTCATCATTGGCCCATAATTCATTGGCTTAGGCTTTGAGTAAAGGTGACTCTAGTTAGATATGTTGATTGGTTTGGACTTGGTGGCAATCTCTTCAGGTGAAAGTATCGAGCTTCTACTATGCGCTTCCAACAAATGGTATTAGAGCCGATGATAGATTGGTGAACCCTCAAATTTGTCCCGACATTTAATTTGGTGACCAACACAGTTTCCGGGTGGTGGGCGTTGATTGAGATATCCTGATTAAGAGTGGGGGAAAACCTAATACTAAGCTTACATATGATTGGGAGATTGTTCAGATGCACGTTTGAGTTATCTTAGAGAAGTTAATATATCTTAGTTGACTCATACCTCATTACTTTATTGTTTTGAGTGAAAGTGGGTCCAACATGTTTCTTCCTTATAGAGGAAATAAAGAAAGACCGATCAAATCTTGAAATTTGTTTTTATCGACCAAAAAAAAATCTTGAAATTTGTTCAATTTGTTCCGAATCGGCTCTTGTCTATGCCCAAAGTCCATTTAAAGAGACATTTTCTCGATTTAGCCTAACCCATCGAGATGAATTCTTTAAAATGGTTGGTGCATTATTTGAAAATAATCTTTGTAACATAGTCTTTATAACTACGGGGTAAGATGATCTGGCCTTGTTTGTTAGAGGGTAAGATAGACTGAAGAAGCTGATGTGGGGGACCTCCATGGTCTTGCTATGGTTGATGAAACCAGAAACATTTATCCAAGGCAGGTCGTTCCCCGCATATAGAAGTCAACTTATTATTCTGCATCGCAAACTTGGACGGTTCAGAGTAGGGACTTTTTAAGTCCCCTCACCATCCAGATCGATAAACGCTCATGCTCAAATCTCCTTATTACCCATTCATGGTGGTCTTGGAAGCCAGGTTGTACTGTGCAATACTGCATTGGCGCTCTCAGCACCAACATACAAATGGGTAAAGCTTGCGCGCTTCCGTTAACGTATACGTAGGTTTACAATCTAAGCGCAGATCTGCTGAAACTAGCATTACCCTTTTTCTTTTCTCTACGTCTTTTTCTTTCTTTTTGTATGCTCACGGTTCAGTATGATGAAACCATCAAGTACCCAGTCATCCATCAATCCCCAGAGTGACATCTCCACCGAAATGAAAACGAAGCCGGTGGTGGATGGACAGGACACGTACAAATGTCGCTTGATGTATACTAACAACTACAGAATAATCAAGTGCAAGCCTCCAAAGATAAAGACCCTACCTCCTCTATCTGATATTAAAACTTGGGTTATAGTTACACGTCTTGATGTCATCCTAGTGTCAAATGCAGCACGTGTTTCGTTCAGCCACTTGTGTGTTCTTTTCCTTGAGAAGTCAGTGAGAAGGTGGAAAAGTCAAATCCCAAGTGCACTGCATTATTGAAGATGGCATTCAGATAGAACAAGAGTTTCTAGGGTTTTCGCTGAAATAGGACACATATGCTTTGTATACAAGGAAAAGGTCTACTGTATAATTTCTGTCTCCATGTTTCTGTTTTCGGTTGGTCATTGTTCAGCTTAAGCAAATACTAACAATGGAGCCTTCTGTATTGTTAATCCTGCCTTCAAATCTTGAGAAAGGTTGATTTGATTTCGAATCCAATAACTAGTTGCAAAACGATGGTTCGACATGCTATCCAATGTTGTTTTCTGATATGAAGGCGGCTTAATTAGACAGTGTATAATTATGAAAATTTATATGCGCCATTATTATCTTGAAGTTATAATTGACCGATCTATATTTGCTGTAGAATGAACCTAGGCATAACATCGGTTCTTCTTGGGTATTGGATACTCCGTCCGCGTCTAGGTTGTTGTATGGTAGATTAATCATGTACAAAATAAAATGAGTGGGGAAAATTACCAAAAAAGTTTTAAACTTATTGCACTTGTGCGAATTCAATTTTAAATATGGGTGATGAGTTCCCGATCCGGTCCAGTCCCACCTAGAAATCGGGAACCAGACCTCCTAATCCTAGAACCGGACCATTCGATCCGGTCTAGCTCCCAAGCGGTCCAATGGAACCCGTGGAGAAGCAAAAGCATTTGAGCAAACGACATTTGAAGAGCGTTTGGAAGCAGAGGGTTCTTGGCTTTTTTAAGTTTTGACCCTCTGGCTTTGACAACAATCCTCGATTGGAGGGCAACGAACGATTCGATCCTTCCCCGAAGAAAATAGGAAAGAGAAAATTATCCTTTGTGATTTTTGGCCGGTTGTGCCGCGTAGGATGGTTAATGACATTAAAAAAAAAATGATTCATTTTAGCGCCGGTTGTGCCGCGTAGGATGGTTAGCACTGACTAGATTGCTGCGTTAGCGATTTTTGGCCAAAATTGGTCG